GCATATTTTACTAATCACTCCCCCTTCAAATGGAAATATGTGTTTACACAAAGGATGACCAAACCGTTTGAGACCCACAGAGAACTTAGACTAAGTTAACTATCTAAACACTCAGAGTCCTTTACCTCACCTGAGCTGTAGTTATCAGTCTCTCAGTCTGACAGGAGAGGACTCTCCTCCACCTTGTTGTTGAAACAGCTCCTTATATCCGTTAACGCAGCTAGCTAGCACCAGATGCTAACAGCAACAATACACGTAACCGGTGCGCGCGCTTTCTCTCTCGCTCGCTCGCGAAACACACTAACACACACCCTCCCGAGCTTGAATGACACACAGAGACCAATCGAGGGCTTTAGTGTATGATCTGTATGAAAGTGGCCATGTCGGCAGGCCACATCATGTAGACAGCCAGTCACAATCTGTGAGGCAGAGTCAGACCCACATTTGCGCAGCGTTGCGTTCACAATACATACATAAAAAAAAAAATCCTCAGGCCAGCAGGCCACTTCACAGGCCAGGCCATCGGGAAACCTCCCGGTCCTCCCGATGGCCAGTCCGGGCCTGTCTGTGACTGTTCTGGTCTGTTCACAGTTTCTGTTCCAAGTCCTTAAACACTTCATTTTTACTCAAATTAATGTTCTGACAACGGTAGCATATGTATTGATTACTACTAAAATATGTATGTCATACCTATTCCTGGTAAATGTCACGTGACATTCATATTCATTATACACACACACTAACTGCTGTTGTGTGTTTCCCTCCCATCCAGAGGCTTCAGTAGAGGCCACTCACATCATCTCAGCCATCAGTGAGGTGTCCTCAATCCCTGCTCCCTGTGACTCGGAGGCAGCAGCATTCAAAGGTGACCTCTTGACCTCTGTAACCTTGATATCTTAAAGCATAATCAGAAAAGCACAATTTGAAATGTACATCTATGTGTACAGCAGATACATGCATGTGGCTGGTGGCTGCTAACCAGATGTGTTTTACATATAATGGAAAACTCAGAAATCCCCAAATATTTCCCCAGCTGACGGTTATATCACTCTGAACCCTAACCGTCACTATTTCAGAGCCATGCGAATAATCACGGCTCTCGGTTGTGTTTACTCGCGTCATTAAAACAAGATGCGCTGACAAAGGGGGCGTGGCTTATCTCCTTAGATACTATGGTAGATACCAACTATAACAAAATGAACATATTTTTAATTTCATTGTATCACACGTTTCAAAATGATGCCGAAATAAAAAAATTCTGATACCGGTTAGTAAAAACCATGAATGCTTTGACAAAGTGTGCAGTCTTTTGTGAACGCACAAACTCAGAGACTTCAAGGTTGGAAATGACAAAGTAAGATGACATTGCCTGTTTGTGCATGTTCTCTAGAGGAGTGCACAGAGTGCCACGACCATATGGATACTGCAGTGTCAGCGATGGAGGAGCCTGAGACAGAGCCCGGGGCGTCAGAGGCCCTGAAGGAGCGCCCCGTGGAGGAGGTGACCGCTAGACTGGCCCAACAAGACCACGAGGAACAGGAAGTCCTCACATGTAGGCTGGAGCACACACACACATTCTTCAGAAAGTGAATGAATAAAAGTTGATTTAATTTATTTTGTAATGAAAAACATGTTTAACTCCTACTGTGTGTGTGTGTGTGTGTGTGTGTGTGTGTGTGTGTGTGTGTGTGTGTGTGTGTGTGTGTGTGTGTGTGTGTGTGTGTGTGTGTGTGTGTGTGTGTGTGTGTTGCAGCTGTATCAGCCAGTCTGGACGACTCCCTGGCCAGCTCTGCTAAAGCCACTTTGCAGGCTATTGGAGCTCAGGAGGCCGCGCTGCAGGCCATCGCTCAGCACACACTCAGACTGAAGGAGGCCATGGAGGCAGAGGTACTGACTGTGGTCGGATCACAGTAGCACTGGCAGTCATTTTTCAACCCAGTTTAGATTCAACCACACCCATTTCTGCATTAGCATAGCTCTGCATGATGGACGTATAAGAGAATTCAAGTCAAAGTCAGCTTTATTGTCTACGTGTGTTTTACATACAGAAATCTTGAAATACCGTTCCTCGCAGTCCCACAGTGTGACGTATACAGTGGGGCAAAAAAGTATTTAGTCAGCCACCAATTGTGCA